ATTTAGCGCAAGAAAAGTTACGCAACGTTGCAACTTGGTCTTGGTAAAATAAATTACGTGTCTTGAACGCTCTGTCGAACGTCGTTTGAGTGGAATAGTTTATGTGGCCGTAATTAGAACACGACGAGATCAAAAATAAACATGTCGCCCTTATTCAGATCGAAGATTTAGCTAGCGCGGATTAAACGATTTACCATTTACAGACTCACCTATTAATATATGTGCTCCAATATTCTATTTGAGCTATTTTGAAAATAAGCGATTTAAATAAATGTAATAAAGAGAAGTGCATGTTATGCGAGTAATTTACAAGTGTAATCCGCGTTTTTGCGGATCGAGAGAGCGATTCCATGAAGATTTTATATTATTTATGATGATTGGATGATCGCAACGCACACAAATACATTATTAACCGCAAGTACATTTGGTTTAATGGAAACGCGGATGCGACCTGATTCGTCCAATAAGTGATCATATTGTAACGATCTTGCATATAATAAATTCACGTTTAAATGGATGATAACGAGACCATTCTCTTCGTAAGCGTAAAAAGGTCGTACGCGCTGTTTGTACGATCATAATTAACCGGCGCGTTCTTTCCTCTCAAATATTTTTTTTTTTTTTTTTTCGGTACTCTCTTTCGCCGGTGAGTAATTAATCGCATGGCGCGCGAATGACGTTTTATTTAATTTCGTCATTATATCTGGCTTCAACCGTACGAACGTGGGGGAGAGCCGACAGTAATAATTAAAATCTTTCGGTTCGACAGCTCGCGCATTGAACCGTGCGACGAGATGGGAACGTATTGTACAAGAGCGCAAAGGTTCAACGATGGGGGTTTGGTTTCATTAATATTTTTCATTCGAACAAAAAGTAGCGCTACACTTTGCGTCCGTGTAATTGTGATGAACAACTATTTTCGTCTGACAAACCAGTTCGCACATACGTTCATCGTTTATCCCGTATAATTGTCCCAGCTCGTATCGCCGAATCGTTTCGCAAACAGGCTCGAACTTAATTTGCGAACTTAATAATAAATCTTTCGGATTAGCGAATATTAAAATGTTTTCTCGTCTCCCTACTTCTCGTAAATTTGCCGTATATATTACGCGTAAAATAAATGGGTAAAAGACTCGCGACGCTCAAAGTGCGTTTCATGCCTACGACTATATTACGTCGAATGCATTAGGCAGCATGCAAATGACTGTCGGCGCGATTTAATTGAAAATGTAATAATCCAGTTGGTTATTAGCAAAGGCAAGATTAAAAAGCCGCCGTCTCTAAAGTTTTCAGGGATTCTCACGAATGGAGCTCGCAGAGTTTACGAATTTAATATAAACGGTATCGCTTGGCATACACGTTTGAAGATTAGAGTTTGCTCATGAAAGAAAATTGGTATGCGTATAATCGATGCAAATATTTTATCGTGTTTGTTTGATGTTCCGAGAGATATATATTTTTTTATTTGGCTCTTTTGCGCTGATATTTAACAGTCTTTAATAAATAATTAGTGGATACCTAAATGAATTAGTATTCATAATTGATCATTATTTGATGTTTAATTGCAATTCTATGAATCTATGATTATTTTGCAATGTTCACTTTTCAAGAATTCACATCTTATAATTACTAATTATCTGGTGAATTGAACATTTATCTATCTAATATATGATAATTAATCATTAACGTGATTTGAATGTCGTGAGAGATTTCCTTTTCGATTATTCTATTATCTTTATACAACTAATTAATTGTATTATTTGTTTGTACAGATCTTAGGTAGATCTTAGATATAAAATAAATCTAGAATAAAGATGTAAAATGCAACCTTACAATTAGTAATTAATTAGATACTGAAATAAGAATTTTTCTATCTATACATTATAACTTTACTTGAAAAATCAATCATTCTCCGCAATGAATGAGAATCAACTATGAATACTAATGACAGATTTTTCAAACAGTGATTCGTAGTATAGAGGCGGATATATGACATATGAATGGGTAATGTAGGTATAATGAATTGCCTATTACATTCAAAATTAAATATAATTTTATTTCCAAATAAATATCTAAATATTTAGTTATTAATCAAGATAAAAATTACAATAAATATTGTTATAAATTATAAACCATTTATTCTACTAATAAGTTAAACTAAACCATTTATGTGTTATGAATAACAAATAAATAGAGGAGGTGTCTAATATTTCTATGTGAATAAAAATAATAACAAATGTTACACTCGCGGAACAAATTCAACAAAGTCTAATAATGGTCGAAATTTAGTGACTAAAATATGATTTAATAATTTCCATAAAATATTTTAGTCATTAATTTGTTATTATTTATTCTCTTGCTTTTAATTTCGTACACTTATTCTCTACCCATTACTTTTCTAATGTATTCGTTTGTTAAGATATTTCTTATTTTTGAAGAAGTCTATGCCGTGCATACGCTTCACAAGGAAAAAGCCAAGTCAATGGCATCCATTCAATTAATTCGTCCTCTTGTTCGTTCTGATGAAATGTCAAGATACGACATCATTACTTCAGGATAAAGTAAAGATATGGAAAGGATGATACTGGAGTAGTTCTCGTTTCCTCGTACAACGTATCTACAAATACTCTCGTCCAGGCTTGGATATCATCAGATCAGATAAGTGCGCTTCCGCCGTATAGAAGAATTACAGACCGGGCGCGAAAAAGATGAATCAAGTCTCGCAATGCCTTCTGTTTGACATACAGTACGTTTCAAGTATATCGTTTGTGGAAATAATGCCTATATCGCACGAGATCGGTGGAAGTATCATGCTGGATGAATACTAATGTGATGAAAAGTCGCTTGCAATGCGTACGGCGAACGCATTACATGAATAAACTAACAAGAAAGATATGTATAATGAGATATTGATGTTGCCACTATAATTACGTTATTATATCAAACTTATAGCTTATAACGAAATTTATTGTTTTCTACTATAGGAAGTTAAACTTAATATCACCCAGCGGAAATTGTTTATCCCTCCGAATCTAAAGATACGATAGTCTCGCGAGCCTCGTTTATGATCATTTCTCACTTCTCTCTCTCTCTCTCTCTGAAGATAAAAAAAATGTAGTTTATCGAAGAAACGTCACCTAATCACATTGATGGAAATCGATAAGCACTGTTTTGATGCACGTCAAAAATCTGTGAGTTCAAAATTAATCGCATAATCCTATCCCGATACTGCTGCTAATTAGTGTAGCATTAAGCACGGAGATTCGAGTCCTTATCTTCGAGTACGTACTAATGCCGCGATGCATATATGCGTTAACGTTGAGATGTCACGCGCGCACGTGCGTGTGTATGCACACATCTGCTTCGATACAGCTGGAGTTTGAAACGATTATCAGGTGCGTATTTGGAGTAATGTGCATGGTCCGGAGCCTCATGCGGTCGGTAAACTCTCCAAGCTATCTCAGATATCCTCTCTCACTCGTTATGTCATGACACTCGATTAAACGACTGATATTTCTGCAATACGGTTTGCTGATTAAAAATAAAATGTTAATTTTAACAATGTATTAACATATACTGTTAAAAGGAATTTAAAATATTAGCTTTTAAAATTGTTTTTTTCTTATACAAAATATATTTTGATGTGTCATTGAAATCCATATTTGATTATACCTGAAAGGAGCGATTTATTTAATATCAAATTTATCTAATTAAATTACGAATACATAAGTTATTGCATCTTAAAGCATGCTTGCATGAAATTCGATCGAAGTTTATTTTTTATTATATATATCTTTATTATATATAGATACAATGGTTTTGATTTTCATGATAAGCGAAGAATCGAAAGATCTTTACTGCATGGAATATGCTTGGATAATATAAAGTACATTTATTATCCACATGCTTAAAGAATAAAGTCATACGAGGCAAATGGTAATGTATTAATCTTTTGATACGCGTCAAAAGATGCACAGACACGATGGATATGTATACTATCTATCGCAATCGACGTTATTAAAATTCCGCGCCGCTCTGCACTCGATACCTCAGTCTGATATCGCGGACGCAACCATCCATACAAATCGGATCTTACTAAATTGGAGTACAATTTTCACGAGCGGAGTTCCACGAGCTCGAGCTACGAAGGTAGGATAAGAAAAAAAGAGAAGGGGTGGTAAGATAAAGTCTCTATCCCTCTCTAAGCCGGCCGTGGAAGATGAAGCGAATCAAGTAACAGCGGTGGCTTACGTGCGATGCACCCCTAAACCATCGCTGAGGGAGCATCACGTGGAAATGCGTTACCCACGAAAGGTCTGTGCTTAGAATTCTCAAACTCGCTAAATTATATTTCATGTCACGGAGCCGATGATTCTTGAAATACATAAGCCGCGATGATAATCTCATTTCGTTAGTCGTGTTCGGCAGTGTTGCGACATCCTTCGCACTTCCGGAAACTTATAATGATGGAAAGAAATACAAAGTTAATGACGCATGTTTATAGGAGAAAAAAAACATATCTAATCAAGATATCTTTTGAAATATTGAGGAGAAATTATGGCAGTTTATTAAGAGAAAAAATTATACGTCAGTCAAGTATACACTGAGAAAAAATGTATTATATTTTAATAATTATTTGATTAATACTTAATATTTACTTACGATCAAATATTTATACTAAATAAAAAAGACGTAATTGTAGAAGACGTATGTTTTTATTATAATTTTATTATAATTTTTATTATATGTATATGTAAATTACATTTTATCGATAAAATTCCATCGGAGTTTAGTCATTGTCTCTTTAAAATGCATAAAATTGTCCATATCTTTCAAAAGACAATATTTAACAAATTTTTATTCTATATATTAATGTTTGAATGATAAAAGCGTACAAAGATTAATGTAAAATAATTGATATTTATATATTCTATAATTACTTACAATCAATACATACACATATTAATCAAATAATATATTGTCCAATATATAATATAATTTTGTCTTTATATTTTATACATATATATATACATATATTGCATATTCTTTAAATTAAATCTTTGTAGCAGAATGCTATAAATTGGATGGCGTTTCTTTCAGCTTCTACTAAATTGTTATTGTCATTTCCAGTATCGGATGAGCTGTTTAGTCGCCATCTTCGGCTAGTTGATATTCTAAGTTGATATTCTCATATCAGAATTTTTTCAGTTAAAATTATTAATTAATTATTAAGTAATTGTCTAAACTTCTACATTTTTAATGCAGAAGTCTCATTGGTGACTGTATTTACGAGCGTGGTACTTTGTCACATATTTATGATCTTAAATCAGAAATACTTCAATCTTCAATAATTTCAATCGATAAGTATCTTGATTTTGACATCTCGAATATATCTAACGTAATCACCAACGAAAGTCATAATTCTCATTTACATTATTACTACCAAAATTATTATTGTCGTTGTCGTTGTCGTCGTTGCTATTAGTTGCGCTGTTGTTTCTATCATTAGCAGTGCTGTTGTCTCCATTATTATTAATTATTGTTTTCATTTGCATGAATGAGTGCGTTGTTTCCATCGTCATCATTGGATACGGTGTTGTTTCCATCACTACTTTCGGATGCGCTATTGCTTCCATCGCCATCTTCAAGTATGCTGTTTCCATTGTTGTTTTCTCCATCAGCACTTTTGGCTGAGTTGTCATTTTCATCCTTAGCATCAGATGCGGTGTTTTTTTCAGCCTCATCTTCTATTGGGTTATTATTTCCATCCTTGGCATCGGATGTGCTGTTATCTTTATCCTCAGCATGAGGTGCGCTGTTTTCTGTGTTGCCATCTTTGGCTGAGTTGGTATTTTCAGCATCAGATGCATTGTTTTCTCCGTTGTCACTTTTGAATTGTTGAATTGAATTGTTATTTTTATCCTCTGCGCTGTTGTTCCCATCCTTGGTATCAGGTGCGTTATTTTCTCCGTTTCCATCTTTGGCTGAGTTGTTATTTTCATCCTCAGCATCAGGTATGTTGTTTCCTGCATCCTTGGAATCGGGTGCACTATTTCCTTCATTGCCATTTTCGACTGAGTTATTATTTCTATCCTCTGCATCGGGTGCGCTATTCTCATCCCCAATATTGGATGCGTTTTTATTCCCATCCTTGGTATCAGGTGCACTATTTCGTTCGTTTCCATGTTTGGTTGAGTCATTATTTTCATTCTCAGTATCAGCGTTGTTTCTTTCATCTTCAGCGTTGGGTACATTATTTTCTCCATTGCCATCTTCGACTGAGTTGTTATTTCCATTCTCTTCATCGAGTACGCTGTTATTTTCATCCTTGGCATCAGGTGCGTTGTTTCCTTTGTTGCTATCTTCGGCTGAGTTGTTATTTCTATTCCCTTCATCGAGTGCGCTGTTATTTTCATCCTTGGCATCAGGTGCGTTGTTTCCTTTGTTGCTATCTTCGGCTGAGTTGTTATTTCTATTCCCTTCATCGAGTGCGCTGTTATTTTCATCCTTCGCATCAGATGCGTTGTTTCCTTTGTTGCTATCCTCGGCTGAGTTGTTATTTCTATTCCCTTCATCGAGTGCGCTGTTATTTTCATCCTTGGCATCAGGTGCGTTGTTTCCTTTGTTGATATCTTCGGCTGAGGTGTTATTTCTATTCTCTTCATCGAGTGCGCTGTTATTTTCATCCTTCGCATCAGATGCGTTGTTTCCTTTGTTGCTATCTTCGACTGAGTTGTTATTTCTATTCTCTGCATCGAGTGCGCTGTTATTGTCATCCTTGGCATCAGGTGCGTTGTTTCCTTTGTTGCTATCCTCGGCTGAGTTGTTATTTCTATTCCCTTCATCGAGTGCGCTGTTATTTTCATCCTTCGCATCAGATGCGTTGTTTCCTTTGTTGCTATCTTCGGCTGAGTTGTTATTTCTATTCCCTTCATCGAGTGCGCTGTTATTTTCATCCTTGGCATCAGGTGCGTTGTTTCCTTTGTTGCTATCCTCGGCTGAGTTGTTATTTCTATTCTCTGCATCGAGTGCGCTGTTATTGTCATCCTTGGCATCAGGTGCGTTGTTTCCTTTGTTGCTATCTTTGGCTGTTGAGTTGTTATTTCCATTTCCTACATTAGGTGCGCTATTTCCTCCATTGCCATCATTGGCCGAGTTGTTATTTCCATCTCCGGCATTAGATGCGCTGTTTCCTCCGTTGCCATCCTTGGCTGAGTTGTTATTTTCATCTCCGGCATTGGGTACGCTGTTCTCTTTATTGCCACCTTCGGCTGAGTTGTAACTTTTATCCCCTGCTTCGGATGCGCTATTGTTTTCATCCTCGGCATTGGATCCACTGTTGTTTTTATCCCCGACATCAGATGCGTTATTTCCATTGTTTTCTTCACTATTTTCAGATGTGTTTTTACTTTCTTCGCTACTAGATGCGCTGTTATCTTCATTATTAGGTATCTTGATAGTTGTACTTGGAGTAGATGTTGTTAAAATACTTTTTGCATAACCTTCCACGTGTACATGTATTCCTTCTCCATAATGTCCAATAACTATTATAACCATATTTGTCCAACTGAGTCTTTTCGGTATAAATCGAGTTTGTTGATTTCCGATATTTGTGATTTTAATATGGGTGAGTATTGCATTGTTTGGAGCTCTTACACTTACTGTGATTATTAAAGGCTTGAAAAGGTGAGGCTGCAATTTATAAATAGGATATTAGTTCATAAATAAGATATTAATCATAAAATTATGAGACTGTGTGAAAAATATTTTTATTTGGTCATTTAAAATCAAAGAATCTATAAAACTATATTACCACTAAAATTTACGAATAATGAATAAAATTATTGTAAACAGTGCATTGTGTAATTTATGTTTTGTCTTATACTTATATTTTAAGTAAATTAATGTAATTGATTGATATGATATAAAGGTCAATTAAATTCAAATAGGAAATTTAAAACATATTAGATATAAGACTTAATGCAATATTTTTAATATCTACAAAATTTGATATATTATTCATACATGTAAATTAAAATATTTAAAAGAATTCTATGAAATTCGATTAAAATCTGAATTATAAAAGATGAGTTGTTCTATTTTTTTATTTAATATATGTACATAAAATAATTACAATCAGTTATTTACCTTAATAATAATTCTGTCAGTAATGACATAATCGTTTTCTTGACGTTCACCTATGACAAAGTCATTCTGATAAGTTCCTATTGGGCTGCAGACAGCCAAAGTAAGACACAAAAGCACAGAAAATAAAATCTTCATCTTAGAAAGCTAATTGTGAAGCCGTCCGTTGATTAAAATCATATTGTTCAACTGGTACTTGCCGAACGTATTTATATCTTCGCGTTATCAATTCTCATGCTTGGTTCCACAAAGAATCGTACCATATTAACTCTCAGATTTTTATCTCGACAATGACAATAACTTACGTAAGGTTATTTGTTTCATCTTCCGTTTCATCTTTCTTGCAGGTTGTAGATATTTCTCGGCATGATGTGTTTTCATTCTTTTGGATACTGAGAGAGGAAGAAGCGTGCAGTAATTATTTAAATGTAATTATACTTTGAGAGATTTTACAATTTTTAATTTATTTTTATTATTACATGATATATTTTATATATTTAAAGAAGTTTTACTAATTTTTATATTTAATATTACGATTAAAAGAGCTATTATCATATTAAATAAGCTATAGTACATAAAATGATTTCATGAATATAACTTAGAAGAAAAGTAATAATAAAACAGATTTATATTTTCAATTTTTTATTTGTATTATTTTTATACAATACTTTTTTATTTGTATTATACAATATAGATGAATATATTACAATATTCTATTTTTCATAATATTGTGACATAAAATTGACAATTAATAAAAATTAAGGATATTCACCGGATATCCGGCTAGTATTTGGTTTCCGGCAATATATACGGTCGAAATTTTATATTGAAATTACGCGCGTTATTATGAATATCCTGAAAACTTTTATTATCATTGATATATTTTTTAGAAATATAGTACTCTAATTTTTATTAAATATATCAATTTTATGATATAATATCATAAAAAATAAAATACTGTAATATGTCATCTCTAAAAATATTATCTTTGTTTCACGTGATATAATTATCTCCCTGGAAACTTACATATTTCCAAACATTTCCTCGTTATATTAAGGCTGCTCATTGGGGGTCTGATAACGTATTATAAATATTGATAATATTGATAAACTACACGTGTCATTAATAGTATCAGAGTTTTCTGACATAAATGCATGTTTAATCAGAATCAAATACCACTACCAAAAAACAACAGTTTAAGAGACATCGCGTATGATTTCTGTGGAATTGTGGAATATTTCAAAATTTTTACACGTGTATAGGCATGTCTTACTCACATTGTAAACAAAATAAATACTTATTCTATAATTTTTTTACTATAATTTTTTTTTATCTATCTTATCTATTTTATGTGTTTTTCTACAGATAAATATACATATATATGTATATATAATACTTATTAGTTGTTGGAATTAATTCGTAGCGTTTTTAATGAAAGAATGTTATTTATTTCACATGAGCATTAAAAAATACATTAATGAAAGTACTTCCCATCACTTGTAAAACGCTACGAATTAATTCCAACACCTAATACATTCATGCATAAAATGTGTATTTCGAGATTTTTAATTTAATATTTTTCAGTTGCATAATTGCATAGTTACATAATTAATCATCAAAAATCTTTATGAGCATCATTGTGTTGAAATATCTTCACTTTAACAATTAATTATTATTTTTACTTTATTTCTTCCGTTCGCATCAATAATGTCGTCGCGACTTTTTTCTGATCTTCGCAACTCTGTCGACCATATCGCGCAAATTAATTCCTTTTCATAAATTCAACGCGAAGGAACGTTTCATATTCAACGCCATAACTCGAAACGTGTTCCTTGGTACGTGTGTAATCTCGAATCTCAGACTCATCATTTTCAGCCGCGTCAGCTTATGGTACGTGAGACCGTAAGAATTAGCTAAGTGAGTAGCTACGGTAGTAGCTCTCTACAGCTTTTACATATGCAGAACCGGTGGTAGGCTAAAACGAACGAATCATACAAAATTAACAAACAGCTTATCCTATCATCGAAAGATATAACTTACAAATATTTTCCTATGTAGACAATGACGATCGTTTAATAGCTAGGTAGACGTCGAAAAGCGTTTCCGCTTTACCACTGACAATTTCTAAGAGCTGCTGAGAAAGTATAAAATCTTTTTTAAAATTCAGCCCTAATAATGAATTTGAAATTTATATTCGCGACGTTAAACACTGCCGGGAAGTGGTTAAATTCAACAAAAGATCATTAATCTTGTTCTTTTTAATACTTACATATAATTTCTTTTCTTTATTAAAAGTATTGATTTGTTGCAAGGTATATTGCATTTAAATCTTTGATGATTAATAATTGATGAATCTTAGATAAAAGATTTATAAAATGCATAATAGGATATTATTAATAGAGCAATCTATTGAGAACATATTTGTTAATGATACAATGCATAATAAAATTGAAACAATAGATTCATATGCGATTCAGGGTGGAGTCTATTATACATTAATTTTCATGAAAAAAGTACAAATGAATTCAATTCATTCGCAAAGAAATATAAAATGTTTAATCCTATTAATTTGCGAATCGTTGTAATTCATGGTTTTATAAAAAGATACGTATTTTTTTTATGAGGGATTCAATTTAAATACTATAAAAAATGAATTTTTAACTGATATTTATATTGAGTGTGTAGGAAGGTATAAAATTTTTATTAAAAATTATCAGAGAAATTGTCAGATGAATATTTCATCGAATAATGATTTTACAATTGTATATCTATAATTATTGTGTAATTTGATACATATTATTGACCGATATACATACACAAAACGCGTTTATGCATTTATTTCAGCATTTATAAAAAAAAAGTTTTCTCTAACGGACTATATGCTACGTAAAGTTTCGAAGAAAAACATATAAGTTCAACATTGAACTGATAAGAAATCTTATCTCGTTGAGATCATAGTCGTTATATTCTCATTATTTTGTTCGGTTAGCGATCTAAAAGTAATCAGTGAGTGAATCAGAGATATGCCGTCTGTATTTCACTCGAAATGTTTGTCGTATGTAAATTGTAATTAAATCGAATTGTAAATATTTTCTTATAACAAAGGTAGTACGTTTTATTCAAGATTTATTTTATGCAATCACATTCCAAATTACGTGTTCATTTATATAAATGCTTAGATAAATTAAACTACAATTAAGTGTATAAAATTAATTTTTTTAAAGAGCTTTAATTAATAAATTTAAACTATCAATTTAATTTTCAAAAACTTCTTTCAAATAGCAATCACACGCCCATTGAAATAATAAGATCATGTATCGAATTTCTTATTTATAAACTTAAGAATAGAATTTCATGCGATGCTGTTACATAAGGGAGAGAAGATGCTTAACGATCGCCTTTGAAACGTTTTTCGTACCAATATGTAGATGCATTGCATCATCGCATCCTCTGCGTATATGTTCACGCGGCTGCTGGTAATTACTCATGTCACGTAGCCGCATTGCTGGCCATGGATACCATTTTTTATACTATCAAGAGGTGCCAACAGCCCGCGCAGTCCGCCATCCAGCCCGTAATATCAGCCGATGCTTTTTATTAACGCCGAGAAGAAGAGAGACCATGTATCGATCCAATAAACGCCGTCACGTCGGATCGGGCGAGAACAATCGCTACAGAGGATAAAATTCTCCGCTTGATCTGACCGCGAGTGGGAATGGCACGTCACGTACTGGCGATCTCTTCTTTCATTAACGTTACGAACGTTTCACGCATCGCTCCTAATCACTGCCCGCGAGTACAAGCTATCACGAACATCGTGAAAAGAAACCTGCCATTCCCTCTTTCTCTCATTTACACGCGCGTGTATGCTCTTGTTTCTACGATTCCCGTCGGATTCCCTTAAATCCCGACTGTGTAGTTTATCGAATTAATTCATTATCAACTTAACTCATTATTTTTTATTTTATTCTTTAGAGATCTAAAAAGTTTAACATAATGAAAAATATCTTGTTAGACGTATAAGTTATACATAAATTAAATTGAATATTTTCTTTATACTTTGGAAGCTTTTTCTTAAATTATTCTTTACTTAACAGCTTCATTAATGATTATTAAATGAATTAAGCTCTTGGGAATGATGATGTCCTCGCGAAATTATAAATGCTTTTCAATGCGTTATATATTTAGACTTTTTTGTACATAGACTTTTTCTTAAAACGATTCTATCTTATCATTATATATTTTATAAGCTCTTATAATTTTATAAACATTTTTATTTTCTATTAAAATTGACGAAATTATCTTGGCAAAATGAATTGTCGAAAGTATTTTTGATTCATCGTCAGTAGAACTAATTTCATCATACGCTGACATTATTATTTCACGTCCATTATTGTCCACGCGTGTTGCGTAAAAATAGAGAATTTTATCCGCTTCACACTATAAATTTTCAAAAGTCCGATGTCAATCAGAGCATCAATTCGATAAATATTGAATTAGGTGGGGTATCAATCAACCATCAATGCGTCTTGTCCTGAGCAGACACGCAAATGGCTGACTGTGAACATATTCTCTCCTTGCAGTGACACCGATATCGCATACGTATTACGCATCGTTTGTCATCATTATCCGTACTGTAATTAAAACTTTCCGACTTATGATGAAGGATTGCACGACCTGATTTCCATGAAAATAGAATGGTCATTGTAAATATATCATGCTTTGTCCTATATAAAAACGTAACATTGTTCAAAAACTGTCATTTCGACCAACGCGATATGAAATACGCTCCGATCCTGTAAAAGTTCGCCGCAAGAGACTGCATCGTTTGCAGTTATATGAATATTAATAAATAAAAACATAAATATTTTTATAAAATAATAAATATTCTATTATACTAAATTATATTACTAAATATAATGAATAAATTATATTTAGTAAATAATATAAATACATTTACCAAATATATTTATTGTTAATATAGAAATTACATAATAATGAGTTATAAAATAAAAATATAATAGTAAAATATACAACAATAAGAAGTAATAAAAAATATGAAATATTTTGAAAACCTTGTTCTTGAACTTCTATTCGCCTTGTTACAGCTTCATTATCAGATGAGATAAGCCTTTGCGAATGATATCATCGCGAAATTTATTATTA